AGACCAGAGAGAGACCAGAGAGAGAGACCAGAGAGAGAGACAATCTCATCTAACTCTATAAAACTATTAAACTAATTCAAGAGTAAAGTTAAAAAGTCTGGTATCAATACCAGAAAGCTAATGCTACCAGGACAATAAATGCTGATTGCTGTGATTTTAAAATAGTTCTCACCGTATAAAGTATAAAGTATAAAGTATGTTTCTCTCAGGTCTCTCTTCCCTCCAGCAGGGGGAGCACTGCTGAATTGGGGAGACAGAAAACTACCTATTAAAGGGGTGCTTAAACTTTTTAGTTAGAGGGCCACTTCAGTTCTGCAGACTTGTCCAGGGGCCGAACATCCGGAATGTGAAACTGTTTTGTTCTGGGCTTTATATTTACCTCTGGCGGAGCTGAAGTTGGCTGAATGACAAATGACCATCTCTCCAGCTACACCAGCGCCATTAACAGAAGTTTGTGACAAATCAAAAACAAATAATACCAACAATTCTCAAGCATGCACCTGTACCTGTCAGGGCTGAAGTTGGCTGGATGACACTGTGAATTTGTGTTTTGAGAATGTCTGACATCAAAGGGTTTTTAATAAATAATTTTGTTTGAATTTCTGCGTCACATGAATCCAGTGTCAGGTCACACGAAGGATTCCGATAATAAATAATCACTGCGTTAAAAAGACCCTCACATTTTCAGGAAGACTGTTCTAGATCTTAGCATGAGTCTGAAACGCAGCCTCCCATGTTCAGTCCTCACTCACACATGACGCTCTAGGACAGCTGCACAGGTTGTAGTTAGGTACCTCAGCTTTACTTCAGCAAAACCAATGGTACAAACGCCCTCTGCTGGTGGGCAGGTGGTGGTGCAGGCGCAGAGGAACGCACCGCTGACCTGCGCGGAAGTCACTGCACAAAATGGCGAGATGAACTTTTTGGCAGAAAAAGTGTTGATTGGGGGGAAAATACTCCAGAAGGACTCAGGAGCAGCAGGAGACGTGTTGCTGCGGGAGGATGACGGTGGTGTCCGGCAGAGAAGGCTCCAGGAGCGGCCTTGTGCCTTGGCTGCTGTCGGTGCTGTGTTCTGCGGCGGTGATGGCCCTGCTGGGGTGTGTATGCGCTCTCCTGTACCCCGTGCTCAAAGGTGAACGCACACACACACACACGTAAATGTTTCTTTATGTTTTAGTGTTTCTTTGTTTTGTTTGTTATACTTCTCACGCGTTGACGTCACTGCGTTCCCAGAGCTGCGTGAGTTGACAGTGAGAGGAGAAGATGGGGCCGAACAGAAGATGCTGGGTACACACACACACACACACACACTTACACACACTCTCACACAACACAACACCACACACAACACACTCACACACCACACACACACACACACACAACACAACACACACTCACACGCACACACTCTCACACAACACAACACACCACTCACACACACAACACACCACACTCACACAACACACTCACACACCACACTCACACACCACACTCACACACTCACACACCACACACTCACACACTTACACAACACTCTCACACACACCACACTCACACACACACAATACACTCACACACCACACTCACACACAAAACACACTCACTCTGACAACGAGACTTTACTCTGATCAAACAGTGCAATAAATACCAACATATGGTGTAGTTTATCCCATGCCTTCAGTTGTCAAAAAGTAATCTCATAATATATAAAGTAATCTTATATCCTCTGTGTCTCTCTCCGTCTATTTCTCTTTCTTTCTCTGATTTTTTTCCTCTCTCTGCCTCTCTCTCTTTCTATCTGTCTCTGGTCTCTCTCTCTCTCTGGTTTCTCTTGCGGTCTCTCCTTCTCTTTGCTGATTGGTTGTTGAGAGCGAGGGTAACGTGGATGTGTTTTCAAAGTTAGGTGCAGCTTTAATACCGTCTGTCTTCTCTCACTACAAACTCAGTGACGTACTTTGGAGTGTCGGTAACTCTTGTCATTTGTCCGTAGGTTTGTGGAGCGTCTTGGTCATATCTGTGGGCGTGGCCTCTCTTTGCTCCGCCTCTTCCTGGGTCCTGACTCACCTGGACTCCGCCCACAGCAGCACACAGGACAGGTAAGAGTCAGAGAACGCCTTCTTCAAGCTTTAATGGACTTTCTGTTTTCCCGCTAAGCTCTAATGTGTTTCCGTAGAGACGAGGCCGGACTGGGACGCGGGATGGCGGCGCTGAACGGCGTGATGGCGATGGCGACGGTCGTTTGGAGTCTCAGCTGAGCCCTGGTTTTGGCGACTTCTGAATGTAGCTTTGTAGAAGTAGAGGAGTTTTGTTCATGCACAGCTTCTTCAGGTTTATTTTAAAGCTGCACTAACTCTTTGTGGCATTTTTGAATGTGAGCGCTGGCCTCGCTCTCTGCTCGCCTCCCCGCACTAGCCCCTCCCACTCAGCCGCACACGCCCCTCCCACTCAGCCTTACATGTGCTGTCTACGGAGCTCCTGTCTCACAACATGGACACATGTGAACGTGGCGTGACCATAGAACGATAGAACCGTGAAGCGCGGAGGAACCAGACTTTCTTTTGTCTGTTTCGCTGAGTAAGCAGAAACAGATGTGATAATAACAATACTGTACATGTTTTGGCTTAAACTTTCTTCTGTGTATTGTTTTCAGACTTAAAAAAACAATAAAAGACAATATGAAACTCACTAAAAGCTTTTATTAATTTCTATTCCCACATTTACATTTATATAAAACTCTTAACGGTCGCATACTCTTAAAAATAGTTATGTTAGTCAAGTGTTGCCAGGTAAGGTTTTCCAGCATTAGTGCAAGGCATCAAACAGCCAACTACAGACTCGTCTACGCAAAAGAGGAAAACATCTACACAAAATACACACAATAAACAAAATACAATCTTTTCTTCGACAGTGATTTAAAATAAACTAAATGTAAAGTCATGATTAACACATTTTTACTGTATTTTCGTACCTTGATAATTCCCATCGGTTAAATTAAGTGCTTTCAATTAGAGCTTTTTCGACAGACGTTAAAGGCACTAAAACATATATACCATAAACAAAGTGATAATAAAAATACTGTTGATATTTTAACTTAAACATTTAGGATAAGTTTGGTCAGACGTCAGCGTAACAGACTGATCAGAAGCAGCTCTAGAATCATCTGGAGGTATGTGCGTTTGTGTGAAGCTTGTGTAACAGTTTTACAACAACAACAAAGGTACAATAACACTTTTCTGATTGTCTCATGGAAGTACATAGTGGTCATTTTAATTGTATAGCACATGTCCCAGACCAAAGCCGCACAAACCGCTCTGTGAGGTTTCAGAACATGGATATTTCTCCATTCGCTCCACGCAGAAGTGCAGACCTACTGTACGTGTTTTCAGTGGTAGGGGAAACCGGAGCACCTGGAGGAATCCTACACACACACAGGGAGAACATGCAAACTCCACGAAGAAAGGTCTGGAGGTGGAATCGAACCCAGGAGCTCCTCGTGATTGGAACAAATCTGATCATTTTACAGTAAACACAGGGGCTGGGTTTGCATGTTCGGCTGTGTAGGTTTCCTCCAGGTGCTCCGGTTTCCCCCATGCACCTGGGTTAGGTGTTAGTTAGTAGGTCTGAATGTGATGAGAGAGACTCGCTTCTGTCATCGTCTGTGTAAGTCCACAAACATCAGGACTTCAGTAAACATGTAAATCTGTAACTTAGCCTCGGTCTGAGACATGTGCTATATCAATAAATGTGCCTGGTTTACTGAACTGTGCGTACGATGAGGAGGAGGTCCCGGGACGAGCCACGAGTCGTCTCACCTGAACAATACTTTTACCGTCTCGTTCAAGGCCTTTTAGAGAGATGAAAGAACAAGAGCAGGTTAAAGCTCGGGTATGTAACTTTTAAACAAAATGGAGCCATGTGCTAACGTAGTTTGTCTGTTAGCGTTCACCAGAACGTCATCTTTAGATCAGCATTTTCAGACCGAAGACTGAAAACAGAGACCACCCTCCCTCAGCCAATCAGCTCAAAGAGTCCAAAGGCTGTTGTGCTCTCATTTGTTCCCATTCATAATAATAATAATAATAATAATAATACATTGTACTTAGTGCTTTTTGGAAACTCAAACAGGTTTTATAGAAGAACAAATAAGAAACAAAATAAAAATATAAAAATAAATAGTGGGTTTTGAGCCGTGACGATGTGAACGACGTAGAAATGGTTTAGTCCTGGTCCAAGGCCAGTCCTCAGACCCTTGTTTAGTCCTGGTCCAAGGCCAGTCCTCAGGCCCTTGTGTAGTCCTGGTCCAAGGCCAGTCCTCAGGCCCTTGTTTAGTCCTGGTCCAAGGCCAGTCCTCAGGCCCTTGTGTAGTCCTGGTCCAAGGCCAGTCCTCAGGTCCTTGTTTAGTCCTGGTCCAAGGCCAGTCCTCAGGCCCTTGTTTAGTCCTGGTCCAAGGCCAGTCCTCAGGCCCTTGTGTAGTCCTGGTCCAAGGCCAGTCCTCAGGCCCTTGTTTAGTCCTGGTCCAAGGCCAGTCCTCAGACCCTTGTGTAGTCCTGGTCCAAGGCCAGTCCTCAGGCCCTTGTGTAGTCCTGGTCCAAGGCCAGTCCTCAGGCCCTTGTGTAGTCCTGGTCCAAGGCCAGTCCTCAGGTCCTTGTTTAGTCCTGGTCCAAGGCCAGTCCTCAGGCCCTTGTTTAGTCCTGGTCCAAGGCCAGTCCTCAGGCCCTTGTGTAGTCCTGGTCCAAGGCCAGTCCTCAGGCCCTTGTTTAGTCCTGGTCCAAGGCCAGTCCTCAGACCCTTGTTTAGTCCTGGTCCAAGGCCAGTCCTCAGGCCCTTGTGTAGTCCTGGTCCAAGGCCAGTCCTCAGGCCCTTGTTTAGTCCTGGCTCAGGGTCCGGTTTGTCTGATCTCAGGAGTTGATCCAGACCTAGTTCAGATGTAACTGTTGTTGGATCTTTCTTTGGTCTTTAACTTCAGCTGCGACAGGGAGCAGGAGGAGCAGGAGTCAGGAGGAGCAGGGGTCAGGAGGAGCAGAGGTCAGGAGGAGCTGGAGGAACAGGAGTCAGGAGGAGCAGGGAGCAGGAGGAGCAGGGGTCAGGAGGAGCAGGGGTCAGGAGGAGCAGAGGTCAGGAGGAGCAGGGGTCAGGAGGAGCAGGGGTCAAGAGGAGCTGGAGGAACAGGAGTCAGGAGGAGCAGGGAGCAGGAGGAGCAGGGGTCAGGAGGAGCAGGGGTCAGGAGGAGCAGAGGTCAGGAGGAGCAGGGGTCAGGAGGAGCTGGAGGAGCAGGAGTCAGGAGGAGCAGGGGTCAGGAGGAGCAGGGGTCAAGAGGAGCTGGAGGAACAGGAGTCAGGAGGAGCAGGGGTCAGGAGGAGCAGGGGTCAGGAGGAGCAGAGGTCAGGAGGAGCAGGGGTCAGGAGGAGCAGGGGTCAGGAGGAGCAGGGGTCAGGAGGAGCAGAGGTCAGGAGGAGCAGGAGGAACAGGGGTCAGGAGGAGCAGAGGTCAGGAGGAGCAGGGGTCAAGAGGAGCTGGAGGAACAGGAGTCAGGAGGAGCAGGGAGCAGGAGGAGCAGGGGTCAGGAGGAGCAGAGGTCAGGAGGAGCAGGGGTCAGGAGGAGCTGGAGGAGCAGGAGTCAGGAGGAGCAGGGGTCAGGAGGAGCTGGAGGAACAGGAGTCAGGAGGAGCAGGGGTCAGGAGGAGCAGGGGTCAGGAGGAGCAGAGGTCAGGAGGAGCAGGGGTCAGGAGGAGCAGAGGTCAGGAGGAGCAGGGGTCAGGAGGAGCAGGGGTCAGGAGGAGCTGGAGGAGCAGGAGTCAGGAGGAGCAGGGGTCAGGAGGAGCAGGGGTCAAGAGGAGCTAGAGGAACAGGAGTCAGGAGGAGCAGGGGTCAGGAGGAGCAGAGGTCAGGAGGAGCAGGGGTCAGGAGGAGCAGGGGTCAAGAGGAGCTGGAGGAACAGGAGTCAGGAGGAGCAGGGGTCAGGAGGAGCAGAGGTCAGGAGGAGCAGAGGTCAGGAGGAGCAGGGGTCAGGAGGAGCTGGAGGAGCAGGAGTCAGGAGGAGCAGGGGTCAGGAGGAGCAGGGGTCAAGAGGAGCTGGAGGAACAGGAGTCAGGAGGAGCAGGGGTCAGGAGGAGCAGAGGTCAGGAGGAGCAGGGGTCAGGAGGAGCTGGAGGAGCAGGGATCAGGAGGAGCAGGGGTCAGGAGGAGCAGGGGTCAGGAGGAGCAGGGGTCAGGAGGAGCTGGAGGAGCAGGGAGCAGGAGGAGCAGGGGTCAGGAGGAGCAGAGGTCAGGAGGAGCAGAGGTCAGGAGGAGCAGGGGTCAGGAGGAGCAGAGGTCAGGAGGAGCAGAGGTCAGGAGGAGCAGGGGTCAGGAGGAGCTGGAGGAGCAGGAGTCAGGAGGAGCAGGGGTCAGGAGGAGCAGGGGTCAAGAGGAGCTGGAGGAACAGGAGTCAGGAGGAGCAGGGGTCAGGAGGAGCAGAGGTCAGGAGGAGCAGGGGTCAGGAGGAGCTGGAGGAGCAGGAGTCAGGAGGAGCAGGGGTCAGGAGGAGCAGGGGTCAAGAGGAGCTGGAGGAACAGGAGTCAGGAGGAGCAGGGGTCAGGAGGAGCAGAGGTCAGGAGGAGCAGGGGTCAGGAGGAGCTGGAGGAGCAGGGGTCAGGAGGAGCAGGGGTCAGGAGGAGCAGGGGTCAGGAGGAGCAGGGGTCAGGAGGAGCTGGAGGAGCAGGGAGCAGGAGGAGCAGGGGTCAGGAGGAGCAGAGGTCAGGAGGAGCAGAGGTCAGGAGGAGCAGGGGTCAGGAGGAGCTGGAGGAGCAGGAGTCAGGAGGAGCAGGGGTCAGGAGGAGCAGAGGTCAGGAGGAGCAGAGGTCAGGAGGAGCAGGGGTCAGGAGGAGCTGGAGGAGCAGGAGTCAGGAGGAGCAGGGGTCAGGAGGAGCAGGGGTCAAGAGGAGCTGGAGGAACAGGAGTCAGGAGGAGCAGGGGTCAGGAGGAGCAGAGGTCAGGAGGAGCAGGGGTCAGGAGGAGCAGAGGTCAGGAGGAGCAGAGGTCAGGAGGAGCAGGGGTCAGGAGGAGCTGGAGGAGCAGGGGTCAGGAGGAGCAGGGGTCAGGAGGAGCTGGAGGAGCAGGGAGCAGGAGGAGCAGGGGTCAGGAGGAGCAGGGGTCAGAAGGAGCAGAGGTCAGGAGGGGCTGCCGTTGGTGTCGCTGGCCCCCGTCTCCAGCTCTGAGCGTCTCCGGCGCCGCACGCTGTAAAGGCCGGCGGTGAGGAAGACCACGGAGATGAAGGCGAAGTAGGCGCCGTAGACGAGGAACTGAGGAAGAGGAAGAGTCAGGTTCTGTCAATCAAAGGCCACGCCCCTTTTTTACTTTATATGATGCAGTTAGAGCGAACTCGCCAACACAGAACAGCTGTCTGTGCTTCTGTACCTGTGCTTCTGTACCTGTGCTGTACCTAAACCACTGTCTGTGCTTCTGTACCTGTGCTGCTAAACCACTGTCTGTGCTTCTGTACCTGTGCTGCTAAACCACTGTGCTTCTGTACCTGTGCTTCTGTACCTGTGCTTCTGTACCTGTGCTTCTGTACCTGTGTTTCTGTACCTGTGTTTCTGTACCTGTGCTTCTGTACCTGTGCTGCTAAACCACTGTGCTTCTGTACCCGTGCTTCTGTACCTGTGCTTCTGTACCTGTGCTTCTGTACCTGTGTTTCTGTACCTGTGTTTCTGTACCTGTGTTTCTGTACCTGTGCTGCTAAACCACTGTGCTTCTGTACCCGTGCTTCTGTACCTGTGCTTCTGTACCTGTGCTTCTGTACCCGTGCTTCTGTACCTGTGTTTCTGTACCTGTGCTTCTGTACCTGTGCTGCTAAACCACTGTGCTTCTGTACCCGTGCTTCTGTACCTGTGCTTCTGTACCTGTGCTTCTGTACCTGTGCTTCTGTACCCGTGCTTCTGTACCTGTGCTTCTGTACCTGTGCTGCTAAACCACTGTGCTTCTGTACCCGTGCTTCTGTACCTGTGCTTCTGTCCACAGGCCTCTCAGTATCCTTGTGATAGTAATAGGATCCTTTCCCATAAACAAAGCCCACGTGCACTGACCTGCGTGTGCACGTCCAGACCCAGACCGGCCGAGTCCACCACGACCGCGGTGAGCAGAGACTGGAGCAGCAGCGCCGCCATGGTGTCCACGCCGAACACCAGGGCGTACCGCTGCACGCTGAGGCTGGCGGCGATCTGGAACCTGCCACACACAGTGTTACTATGGCGACCATCAACTCAGCGCCGGGAAACCGTAAATGTGACATAAGTCAATAGTGCTGCGATAGATTGAATTAAATATTATGTATTCTATTATTATTATTATATATTCTGTAGAATATCTCGATACTGAACAGACTTGTCCGACCCAAACACAGATAGTTGTTCTCTTCACTCTGTCGTAACCGGACGTTTCCTCACACCTTTTGTGTTGCTCAGAGTTTGTTTCTGTTGAAAGACTTGTTCTCCTTTGTTGTCCGTCTGTAGTTTCATCAGAGCAAGAACAAGGAACTATAACCTGTTTTTTGGCTCATTTGAAGTCTTTCCAGTGGTTTGCAAACAGAATAAACCGTAGCATTGATTCCCAAGTCGACACGCTATGACTCACATACACGGGTGAGCATGTGTGGAGCTAAACTGAGCCTCGGGTCTCTTGTCCACGAGCAGACAGGTGTAAGCAGCAGTCTATCCAGATAACACACACGCATGATGCATACTCACGTTGCCACGGTGATGAGCAGCATGTAGATAACACACATGCATGATGCATACTCACGTTGCCACGGTGATGAGCAGCATGTAGATAACACACACGCATGATGCATACTCACGTTGCCACGGTGATGAGCAGCATGTAGACCGCCCTGAAGAGCACGTAGAGGCTGTAGCAGGACCAGATGTTGTGCAGGAGGACCATCCCGAACACACACAGGGACATGAGCAGAGAGAGCAGGCAGAGGCTCAGCTCCCCCCACCGCGACCAGGCCACGGGCAGGACCCCCACCAGCAGCGCCGCCAGGGCCCCTACGGGACAGAGGCCACGGGGGTTACACGGGTCTCACTCTGAGGGTTCTGTGGAGGAGGCCGGCTGAGAGGTTTTTGTATTTTATTTATTTATTATTTTTAACTGTCAGAAAAAGAATCGGTTTAACATAAAAATAGACATAACTAGTGTACCGCCCCCCCGCCCTCATCCCCATTCACACTCACTCAAACTGTATGGTGAAAGGTTTTAATTGTCCTGTTTAAGGAAATGATGCGGTTTTCCAGAGACCGAAAAAAAAGCACTGCCTTAAACCAATATTTCTGGTAAAACAATAACCACCATCTGGTTGTGAAGTTGGTCATTATAATGACATTTATTTACAGTCCAGGCGCTTTCCACAATAAACATGTTTCAGACAAACATTTCTAAATAATCTTTTCAGATAAATTCGCACATATTGAATGAATATCGGCCTTAAATATAAATATTTTACCATCACAATAATTTAATTAATCAGATCCTGAACATCTATAAACTGACAGAGACAACTTCAAGCTTCAAACCAATGCTTTGACACTTTTTTTAACCTCCACCAAAACAGACACAATAAAACAGAACCAGAGTGGACTCAGAGTGGACTCAGAGTGGACTCAGAGTGGACTCAGAGTGGACTCAGAGTGGACTCAGAGTGGACTCAGAGTGGACTCAGAGTGGACTCAGAGTGGACTCAGAGTGGACTCAGAGTGGACTCAGAGTGGACTCCTGACGACAAAAACATTCCTCAGTCTCTGTCAAATGACAGTTTTTACATTTTCCCAGAGGGTAAAAAATGAATAGTTTTGTAGATCAGTCTGGACCAGTCTCAGTCTGGACCAGTCTCACCATGAGAGGCAAGTCCCTCACCCTTTGGTAAAGGAACAACAGAAACAACCGAAACAACCAGACCACTTCAGTTCAGACCACTTCAGTTCAGACCACTTCAGTTCAGACCACTTCAGTTCAGACCACTTCAGTTCAGACCACTTCAGTTCAGACCACTTCAGTTCAGACCACTTCAGTTCAGACCACTTCAGTTCAGACCACTTCAGTTCAGACCACTTCAGTTCAGACCACTTCAGTTCAGACCACTTCAGTTCAGACCACTTCAGTTCAGACCACTTCAGTTCAGACCAGTTTCATGTTTGAATCCAGACAATAGTTTGAGCGCAGATTTGTAATCCTCCATTTGGAAATAATTCCAAAGAGTTTTAAAAAGTAAAACAAAGTGTCTCCTCCATAAACTCCTGTTTCGCTGCAGCCGAGTCTCGGGTGCATCCAATTTCAACCTTACCCTTCACCTCTCTTCCTTATCATTCATATCATCATTGGAAGCATAACATTACCCTAAATGCATTTTAAATGATCTTAAAATATGTTATATGTATGTTTGCCAAACCTGCAGCTGCTCTTAGCAGATTAAAAAAAGAAAGGAGCTTTCTGATGGAATTGGATGCAGCCGAATCCTGGGCTCACAAGCGCCCCCCTGAGGCTGGCCTCACTTGGTGACACTACAAGCTGTGGTTGAGTGCGATTAAGACCCATATTTGTTGTCAAAAACACAATTTCATCCTCTCAGCTGTGGACATGTTGATTGTAAAGAAAATATGTTTGAACTTTGAACAACAATAAACGTGCACTATAATAGGAGCGCATTTTTTTAAACTTTCATTTCCCGGGAATCGGGAAAAAGTTTGTTCAGATTTCGCGAGGGTCCAGTCTGTCAGACCAGATGACACAGTGAACTTGTATCTATGATCTCACAGGTACTTGGCCTGCTCTAACATCTCCATATGTGGCTCCAGCAGCGGCAGGAGCTCACCCAGCAGCGTGGCCAGCGTCTCCACGTATCCGTTGTAGATGTGGTAGTCCTGGGACGGCCGCTCCTTCTCCCACAGCACCTGGATGTAGTTTATGACCTGGAAGTATCCGCACGTAGCCAGGGCCCACCACAGGGACCAGGCCAGCAGGGGGCGACAGCGGAAACAGCTCCACAGGTCTGAGAAGAGCAGCCGCAGGACCACCAGTGGACCCCCGCTGTGGCCTGAGCCGGTCGGTCTGGACTCCTGCAGAGACCAAACACGACACACAACTTTGAAAACAGTCGAGAGGAGTCACGAGTTTGTGCACTGGGATTATGTAACTTATAACAATGTTTTATCTGGGAAATATTATACTCTTTATTCCCATCATTCTGCAGTCTACACAACTTTCCCCACAAGTCCAAAGAGACGCAGTAATAATAAAGCCTGAAGCACAAACCCAGTGTGTAACGTCCAGACAGAACATAAAGCGGTGAAATCTCACCCCAGAGCCGTGTCCGTTCTCCTGGAGCGGCACTTTACTGTCCGTCTCCCCCTGCATGAGCCCGGTGCTGCTCTCCGGCCCCTCGGCGCCCCCTGCAGGACTCTTGTGGAAGAACAAACTCCTCTGGGGCATGGGCAGAAACCAGGGCACGACGAAGGCCAGAGCGGCCGAGGAGCACGTGATGACCACCAGGTGAAAGAGCGGCACCCGGCCCACGGAGAGCAGCAGCTGGCCCAACAGAGAGCCCACTGCTGACCCGAACAGCGCCGCGCTCCGACAGCAGCCCGTCACCCTCTGGTAGTGCGCCGGCTCCACCACGCTGTAGATGTAGGAGAAGTAGGCCACCTCCGAGGCAGAGGCCAGGCCGAACAGGAGCTCCATCAGCTGCATGAGCCGCACGCTGCGGGCCCGCATCAGCATCACGTACGTGGCCACTAAGCTGCTGGCCTGGAGGATCAGAACCGGTTTGTACCGCAGGAAGTCTGTGGCCAGGAACACCGGGAGCAGCAGGACCAGGTACGAGTACGTCCAGATGGGGTAGATCTCATTCACGACCTGTGGAACAAAGTCATTGGAACTCAGAATACTGCTGTGGAGGAAATGTGTGTACGGATAAAAACATTTAAGACGTTAAACAAACCAAATAATCATGAGGCAAACGAAACTTTGAACTGGGAAACATTGATTACTTCCTTCTAATTGAGGTTTGATATAATTATCAAATTCATATCATAATTTAATTGTATATTAAGTATTTGATATTGTTTAAATGATTAGAGACAAATGCTGTGTGCCTCTGGATCAGATCTTTTTGCAAAACAGTGAGTTGTGGATCATGATCAATCAATCTTATCTAAATCTAATCTATTCTTATAAATAATTTCAGTGCTCCAGTCCACAGATCGTCACATCTTAATATGAATGCACAGAATACACTGAGGGTGATGTTAGTTAACGTGACTTAACCAGGGGCCGACAACCCAGATATTCCAACTTTGACTGGATTCAGGCTGTTCTGAACTTCAAAATGGAGGTATGACATTGTCCATATTGATTCACATTTGACTGACCTGAAGTTGGCTGAATGACAAATGTTTTCTTTCTCAGCAGCATTGTTGTAAACAGATCTTTTCCAAATCTTCTCAAGCATTTGGTAGGAATAGGATTAGCTCTGATAGCTGGTTCCTAAAGGGGAGTTTTACAGTGATTACAGTTTTAACCTTGTGACTATAGAGCCAGCCTCCAAAACGTCAAGGCTGATCTGATGAGTCTAAAACACAGTGTTGCTCTAAGTAATAAGCAAATAGCTATTAGTAAGTATTAAGTAAATAAATAGAGTAAGTATTGAAAGCAACAAACTGGGAATTTGCTTTGGCTCAGAGTGTAAACAAGTAACATATTGATGAAAAGCATGTACATAATGACTAGTGTATAAAAGTGCTGAGTGCAGGTTAAAGTGACAGTATGATGTTATAAAGTGTCCAAATGCAAAAACACCAAACGTTGTATCAGAAAATGAAATGCAAGTCAAGTAAATAATCATTATTGTCTAGACTCTCAATGTCAGAGAGATTTCTGTCTTATGTCATTCACCATTCAATCTGAAGTACACAATATTTAGCTTGGAGACACGTGTTGTGTATTTAAGTTTGTGGGGATCAAACACACGTGTAAAGTTAGATTACATTGGCACATCACTCTGCAGATGTCACACAACATTATGTTTAGTGGCTCGCGTGACTTTGGCTCGGCTCGGACCGAGGTGAAGTTAGCCGAACGTTTGATATTCGCCTGATATTCGAACAAAATCCCCCTGGATTCAAAGTCTGTCCGTATTTTCAGTTTAGTGAAGAGTGTAGTATTAAATACTGTTCACAATGTTGCCACCTATATAAAAAAAACTTTACTTAGGCTGCAATAAAAACAATAAAAACTGCTTTTAAAAAGTACTTTTTCCCAGATTTGATGGGTGTAGTAGCTCCCATTCAATAATAGCTAGCTACTACAGGCAAGAATTTGGGAAAAATATGGTTTTCCCCTTCACAGTAACAAAAATGAAATTGGAAAAATTTACTAAAAATCAACAAAGACTTTTTTCCCAGATTTGATGGGTGTAGTAGCTCCCATTCAATAATAGCTAGCTACTACAGGCAAGAATTTGGGAAAAATATGGTTTTCCCCTTCACAGTAACAAAAATGAAATTGGAAAAATGTACTAAAAATCAACAAAGACTTTTTTCCCAGTTTTGATGGGTGTAGTAGCTCCATTTGAGCAATAGCTAGCTACTACAGGCAAGAATTTGGGAAAAATATGGTTTTCCCCTTCACAGTAACAAAAATGAAATTGGAAAAATGTACTAAAAATCAACAAAGACTTTTTTCCCAGATTTGATGGGTGTAGTAGCTCCCATTCAATGATAGCTAGCTACTAGAGGCAAGAATTTGGGAAAAATATGGTTTTCCCCTTCACAGTAACGAAAATGAAATTGGAAAAATTCACTAAAAATCAACAAAGACTTTTTTCCCAGATTTGATGGGTGTAGTAGCTCCCATTCAATGATAGCTAGCTACTACAGGCAAGAATTTGGGAAAAATATGGTTTTCCCCTTCACAGTAACGAAAATGAAATTGGAAAAATTTACTAAAAATCAACAAAGACTTTTTTCCCAGTTTTGATGGGTGTAGTAGCTCCCAATGAACAATAGCTAGCTACTACAGGCAAGAATTTGGGAAAAATATGGTTTTCCCCTTCACAGTAACAAAAATGAAATTGGAAAAATTCACTAAAAAACAACGACTTTTTTCCCAGATTTGAGGGGTGTAGTAGCTCCAATTGAACAATAGCTAGCAACTACAGGCAAGAATTTGGAAATATATATATACAGTGGGGCAAAAAAGTATTCAGTCAGCCACCGATTTTGCAAGTTCTCCCATAATGAAAGAGGTCTGTCATTTTCATCATAGGTACATTTAAACTGTGAAAGACATAATGTGAAGAAAAAAAATCCAGGAATTGACATTTTTAAAGAATGTATTTGTAAATTATGGTGGAAAGTAGGTATTTGGTCAATAACAAAAATTCAACTCAATACCTTGTAATATAACCTTTGTTGGCAATAACAGAGGTCAAACGATTACTATAGGTCTTTATCAGGTTTGCACACACAGTAGCTGGTATTTTGGCCCAACTCCCTCCACAGATTTTCAATGGGGTTGAGGTCTGGAGACTGGTTAGGCCACTCCAGTACTTTCAAATGCTTCTTACGGAGCCACTCCTTCGTTGCCCGGGCGGTGTGTTTGGGATCATTGTCATGCTGGAAGACCCAGCCACATTTCATCTTCAAAGCTCTCACTGATGGAAGGAAGTTTTGGCTCAAAATCTCACAATACATGGCCCCATTCATTCTTTCCTTAACACAGATCAGTCTTCGTGTCCCCTTAGCAGAAAAACAGCCCCAAAGCATGACGTTTCCACCCCCATGCTTCACAGTAGGTATGGTGTTCTTGGGATGCAACTCAGTATTGTTCTTCCTCCAAACACGACGAGTTGAGTTTATACCAAACAGTTGTACTTTGGTTTCATCTGACCACATGGTTTTTTTTTCAGTCTTATACAGTGACTTAAAGTGACTTATTGTACAGTCTGACAGCAGTGGGGATAAAGGCCCTGCGGTAGCGCTCCTTCCTACACTGAGAGTGTCTCAGTCTTCCACTGAAGGAGCTCCTCAGCTCCTCTACAGTCCTGTGCAGTGGGTGGGAGGTGTTGTCCATGATGGAGGTGACTTTGACTAGACCCTCCTGTCCCTCACCTCCTCCACAGAGTCCAGGGAGCAGCCCAGAGTGAAGCTGGCCCTCCTGACCAGCTTGTTCAGTCTGTTTCTGTCCCGCTCTGTGCTGCCCGGGGCCCAGCACACGGCAGCGTAGTAAATGGCAGATGCTACCACAGAGTCATAAAAGGTCCTAAGCAGAGGCCTGCTCACTCCGAAGGACCTCAGCCTCCTCAGAAGGAAGAGGCGACTTTGGCCCTTCTTGTGCAGGGCGTTTTTATTATGGGACCAGTCCAGTTTATTGTTAATGTGAACACCCAGGTACTTGAAGCTGTCCACCAGCTCAATGTCCTCCCCCTGGATGTTCAGCAACGTGTGGGAAAGTGGTTTCCTCCTGAAATCGATCACCATCTCCTTGGTCTTACTGGTGTTCAAGCACAAGTGGTTGCGCTCACACCAGTCGACAAAGTCCTTGATAACCGACCGATATTCCAGATTGTTCCCCTCAGACACACAGCCCTCGATGGCGGAGTGACAGCTTCTGCAGGTGACAGCTGTGTGTGTCGTGTGTGAAGTCTGAAGTGTAGATGGTGAAGAGAAACGGTGAGAGGACAGTGCCCTGAGGGGCCCCAGTGCTGCAGACTACCACCTCAGACTCACAGCTGCAGCCGCACGTACTGTGGTCGGTCCGAGAGGTAGTTGATGGTCCATGCAGTGAGGCTACTGTCCACTCCCGCGTCCTCAATCTTCCCCCGCAGCAGTGCCGGTCTGATGGTGTTGAAAGCACTGGAGAAGTCGAAGAACATGACCCTCACAGCGCTCCCGGCAGGGATGACGGCGTCCTCTACTCCGATGTTGGGCCTGTAGGCGAACTGCAGCGGGTCCAGGGTGGGGCTGACCACGGAGCGGAGATGGGTGAGGATGAGCCGCTCCATGGTCTTCATCAGGTGGGAGGTCAGTGCGACAGGTCTGTAGTAAGCCGGTTCCTTGGCGTGCGGTGTTTTAGGAACCGGGATCACACAGGAGGTCTTCCACAGGACAGGGACCTTCTCCAGACTGAGGCTCAGGTTGTATATGTAGCTGAGGACCCCAAAGAGCTGGTCTGCACAGGTCCTCAGCAGCCTGGGACTGATCCCGTCCGGTCCTGCGGATTTCCTCTGCTTCAGTCGCTGGAGCTGACTCTTCACTGGGTCCGGTGTGATGGAAGGGGGGAAGACTGGGGTGTATTGTCAGAGGTGGGGGGCGGGGATGTGGGGGCAGGAGGGCCCAGGGCAGCCAAAGGCAGTGTCCACTGGGCGGTGTCCACTGGGCTGGGGACGTGTGAAGAGGTGGGGGCGGGAGGGGGGGCAGATGGAGAGGGGGGAGAATCAAACCGGTTGAAGAATTGGTTAAATTCATCTGCCCGGTGCTGGTCTCCATCCGCTGTTCCGCTGGCCCTTTGTCCACAGCCAGAGATGTTCTTTAGGCCTCTCCACACGTCACGGGCGTTTCCCTGGGCCAGCTTCTGCTCCAGCTTTTTCCCATATTCCCTCTTGGCCCTCCTGATCCTCCACTGGAGCTCGTGCTGGATCCTCTTCTGCTCCTCTTTGTCCCCTGAGATGAAAGCCCTTTTCTTGAGGTTCAGGAGGGCTTTAAGCTCAGAGGTCATCCATGGGTGGTTGTTAGAAAAACACCGTACCTTCTTAGTTGGTACAGTGTTATTCACACAGAAGAGGATATAGTCTGTAATACAGTGTGTCAGGCCAATATCATTATTCCTACTGTGAAGGGGAAAACCCTTTTTTCCCCAAATCCTTGCCTGTAGTAGCTAGCTATCATTTATTGGGAGCGACTACACCCATCAAAACTGGGAAAACTGTCTTTGTTGATTTTTAGTGATTTTTTTCCAATTTCATTTTTGTTGCTGTGAAGGGGAAAACTATATTTTTCCCAAAAGTTTGGCTGTAGTAGCTAGCTATCATTGAATGGGAGCTACTACACCCATCAAATCTGGGAAAAAAGTCTTTGTTGATTTTTAGTGAATTTTTCCAATTTCATTTTCGTTACTGTGAAGGGGAAACCCATATTTTTCCCAAAAGTTTGGCTGTAGTAGCTAGCTATTGTTCAAATGGAGCTACTACACCCATCAAAACTGGGGAAAACGTCTTTGTTGATTTTTAGTGAATTTTTCCAATTTCAATTTCGTTACTGTGAAGGGAAAAACCATATTTTTCCCAACATTTTGGCTGTAGTAGCTAGCTAGTGTTCAAATGGAGCTACTACACCCATCAAAACTGGGGAAAATATATTTGTTGATTTTTAGTACATTTTTCCAATTTCATTTTTGTTGCTGTGAAGGGGAAAACCATATTTTTCCCAAAAGTTTGCCTGTAGTAGCTAGCTATCATTAAATGGGAGCTACTACACCCATCAATTCTTGGAAAAATATCTTTGTTGATTTTTAGTCTTTATTAGTCGTTTTGACCTCTTGCAATTTGCAGACGGTCCCTTGCGAATATCAAACGTTCGGCCAACTTCACCTCGGTTCGGCTCGGCTCGGCTCACCTGGACCTCGGTTAGGTTTTTGTCAGGTCCCATGAGGAAGGCGGTGAGGAAGGGCTCCGACGGCCGCAGGTTGGAGAAGAAGCCCGAGGCACAGAGCAGCAGCGTGGGCCAGAGCACCGACATGACGAGCCGACCTCCACCCGCGACATCCACACGGCACACGGCACACACGGGGAACGGGACCAGAGCTGCGTTTTTTCCCCAACACAACAACACCGAGAGGCTAATAAAACAACTTCCCCAAAACTAGAATATTTACAACTTTCAATAATTATGACCTTTTATTGATAAGCATATAGTTGTGAGTAAATCATTGATGAAATAGCCACTACCGCTAAGTAATATTGTTTTGGTATAAGTGAGTTGGGTAAAAAAAAAAAAAAAAATCAAGCTAGCGTAATTTTTTTCCCCAACGCAATAAATAGTTTTTGGTTTATTAATGAGCTATGTTAGCAAATATTGTTCTTATAATATTATATAAAGTGCGTCTGAAATAAAGGCTGGAGTTAGGGGCAGTTTGTTTGATTAGTATGAGGCCTTTGGGGAAGTTTCGTTATTATTGTTAAAGGAGTGCGTTGGGGAAAAATGACCACCACCGATTACGGAGTGACAGCGGCGCTCATTCATGGTCTGTGTGTACTACGACTGTAAATAATCATGGATCTATTATAATAACTGCATATTTGCGCGCTCGCTGGTCTATTGTCTAGAACGGAAAAAATTGAATGAAAAGTGAATGTAAAATAAGCGTTTTCTTTTTTTTTACTTTAAACTTGCATCCATTGATATATTTAAATTGTTTACAGAATAGTTTGCATTAAAACTTTCTTAAATAAAAGTTCACATAAGTGGTAATATGGGTATTGAATATCCCACACTGTACATTTGATAAAGTTGGAATGAGATCTGAGGCAATATTCTCACTCATTTCACATCCATCATTTGTTAAAACACAGAAGCAGAATATAAAGATATACACGTAAAAGACACACCACATATTGATATATCTTAGAATCATTTATTTTAATATTAGATACACCCAGATGTTCGACAATAAAACCAGAAAATAAAGTAAAACATATTCATTTCTGACACAAGCTGCAAAATAAATCCACAAAATGAAAAGTCCCTCAGTGAGACACATTCGATCTGAGGTTAAGACAAGACGGTGGTCCGAGTATGAAGCAGAGGGTCCACCACACGGCACAGACACACGCCCACGCCAGCACACGCATGTGAAAGACACTGAAATTTAGGATCAAGCGTTGCCAAATTCCAGCTTCAAGTTCATCTTTATTCATTTTTTATTTATTTCCAGCAATAAAACGTTGCCGCTCCTCAAAGTAATCACCGTAATACATACAGTACGGTTTGTAGATTTCAATTCCAGTGTTTCAGTTGGTTTTTCTCCGTACAGAGGTCCCCGACTGTTTCGCAGATTGACTCTTCCCTCTGCACCTCCCTCTCTTCCCTCTGCACCTCCCTCTCTTCCCTCTGCACCTCCCTCTCTTCCCTCTGCACCTCCCTCTCTTCCCTCTGCACCTCCCTCTCTTCCCTCTGCACCTCCCTCTCTTCCCTCTGCACCTCCCTCTCTTCCCTCTCCACCTCCCTCTCTCTTCCTCCCCCTCTCTTTCTCTTCCTCCCCCTCTCTTTCTCTTCCTCCCCCTCCTCAGTGCCATGTCCTCTGCCGCTGTATCATAAAGTGTGTGCACGGCTTTTTACAGCTGCAGCAGCGCTCAGACCTACAGCAGCTTTGACACCCCGTGATGGCACTTGAGGGAGGGAGGGGCTGTACTGTAAGACCTACTTAGACGAGTAGATAGAATAATATATCACTGATAGACTGAAAACATGGGTCAATAATCTTCTTTCTGCTTGTTTTTCTAGAAGTGTTTTTGATAGATCTCTTTAATATCGTCTTCTTCACAGAGCCGTGAAAAAGGCTGAGTCTTGAGCTTCCAAAGCCCAGCACACTTTGGAAGCTCAGAGAAATAAACAGTGTTGAAGCGTGGTACAGGTTATGCATTAACATCCATGTGTGTGTGTGTGGTAGTGGATCGTAGCCGTTAGCTCGTTAGCACAGCGGCGCGGGGACCGGGTGGCAGAATGTTCATGTTGATGCAGACAGAATAAACGCAGAGCTACATGGTGAAGTGCCTCGTGTAGTCGTATTCTATTGTGGGAATGACCGCCTGCACAAACTTTAGGAAGATTAAAAGGTACCTGGACATGTGAGTTAGGGGAAAACAAGCATCGACGTGGAATGGTTTTGGTGCTGGAGGGTTTTGGAGTAAAGGATACATATGGACGCCGAGCTCTCCTCCTCCTTCTGCCACCGTCTCAATGATCTTTTTCATCACCTCTGCGTGTCTGCGCGGGAATGAAATAACAACACATTAAAATCATGGCCAAGTCAAACTCAACTAAACCAGCACCAAATGGAAGCCAGCTTTGTAAAGACCTGAGACGACTGCGTTTGGGATTCAGGGCTGCACAAAAACATATTGTATTGAAGGAGAGCAGAGTGAGGTTGGTCCTGTTTTTCACTTTTCTGTCTGAAAACGCTGAGCTAAAGTACCTTGGAAATGAAAGTGAGGAACTAGTAAGATGGGTTTGATTGAATTGTTAAATCTGTTGTGGTTTTAAACGAGCCACTGCAGCTTTAAATATTGGAATAACTGTTTTAAGATACATAGAGTTCTACAGATATACAGTGTTATAGGATGGAATAGAAATGGCGGCTGTGACAAAGTGCTGACCTGCAGGGGTGGACGGAGCACATGGCCGGCGGGGGGAGGTGGGTGTGGTTCTCTATGGTCACCGTTTTCTTCACATGGTCCTGGCTGATGTCCTCGTACATCTGCTCCACCGTGAGAGGCTGTCGGTCCTGTGGAGGAGAGAGGCCGCCGTGATTCTACACTGCAAAAAATGATCAAATATGAGATCATAATTGCTAGAATCGAGTTTTGTTTAACTTGACTTAAGTTCATTCTGACTGTCTTAAAATGAGATTTGCCAACGAGACAAGCAATTTTCACTTGATTCAAGAACTATTGCTTTATTTTCTCATTCTAAGAGAAAAATATCTTGTGTCTTTTTAAAACAAGACAATTTTTCTTGTTCCACTGGCAAATCTTGTTTTAAGGCAGTCAAAATGTGCTCAAATTTAGATACGGCACGGTGGCTGAGTGGATAGCAGTCTCGCCTCTCAGCAAGAAGGTCCTGGGTTCGAATCCCGGTCGGACCAGGGCCTTTCTGAGTGGAGTTTGCATGTTCTCCCCGTGTCTGTGTAGGTTTCCTCCGGGTGCTCCGGTTTCCCCTACCACTAAAAATATGTTCAATAGGTCTGGCATGTGCCTCCTGTTCTGGAACTCCCAAAATTAACAATTGTAAACCGCTTTGAGACTCCGATGTGCAGTGAAAAGGCGGTATATAAATAAAGATTACTACTACTACTACTATACATTTAGCCAAATTTGAGCATTTTTTGTCTTTAATTCTGTCATCTTTTGCAGTGTAAACCTGCCCCAGGACACTCTGGAGCCCACTGCTAATGGAGTCTTTTACCTCGTCGTAGCCGAAGAGCCAGAGTCGGGGGGTCTGGTAGTACTTGTCGTATGTGATGTACAGGTCGTAGGTGCGGGTTTGGAGGATGGCGTCTTCGCTTCCTGGCTCTGACTTCGGCTTCGTTTCCACCATTTTACTTGTGTCTAAAGTCGCCTGTAAATAGAACAATTTATACAGATATGAGATGTTTCTGAGGCTGCGGAGGAGTCGGTCAGCTCTTTCTTGTGTTTTTATTTTTAATTCAAAACCAAAAGGGCTCATTTCAGAGGTTTTTCATGAAGTGGAGGAGTTTAAGTATCTCTGGGAGTTGAGTGAGAGGAGGATGGATCTGTGCAGTGCTACGGTCACTGTATCGGACTGTTCTGTGAAGAGGGAGGTTTTTGGTTCGTATTCCTGTGTTAATGAGACTTAAAGATGCAGACTTATCCAGACGCAATTATTAAAATACTGTGGGGAAACGTCCCTAAACCCCAAAACTAGTTATCAAGTGTTTTACCGAGGAATGGACACGACCAGCTCCTGTAATCTCAAAAAATATTTTATGAATATTTTGGAGCAGGCCGACTGGTGGTTTGACTCAGTGCTACTTGGATGCTAATGCTAATGCTAAAGCTAACGTGAATCCTTTACGGCACCTTTAAATATCCCACTTTACCTCATCTGTTTCCAATAAGCCACTTTCTTCATATTCTGCAAGAAAAAACAAATATATTATTAACAATAGTAGTTAAATACTTCCTCCTTGTGCATGTAAATGAGGCCGTGATTACCTTCCATATCTGCAGCTTCTCCCTCCTCTTCGTCATCCTCATCACCGTTGTCACAACAGGCCCTAGATGTGGCGTTCATGTTCTTGTCCTGAATGTATAAATGAATAATAGTTATTTTGAGAATAGAACCCAGCGATAAACCAAAGATGAAGTTTGTGTCTTCCTCGTACCTTACTGTTGTCCAGAGAAATGTCCCGCACGGCGTCAGTGACTCCTAAAGTCCCTGACGACCAAAGGATGAGCTCCATCACTTACATTTATACTTCTACATAAGAAGTTGTTTTTCTGTAGTTCTAACACAGACCTGCATTGTGGTACGTGTCCACCCAGCCTCCGTCTCCGTCGTCCTCTTCTATGATGGCCTCCAGCTCGTCTGAATACTCCATCTGTTTACAGCGTTTATAACACGGAACTGCAAAAACACATTCTACATTTAATGTCCAGGCCATTATCAGACAAACTGTCCAAAAACACCACAGACCGTTGCGTGTCAAGAGGAACTGCTTATCCGGCGGCAGGAA